AGTGAAAAAAAATGTTGCTTTAGTGATGGGCCATGGTCACATGAGGACAGCTGTACTTCACAGAATCTCTTGATAATTAGAAACAAATTATGACTGGGTTCTGTACTGAACAGAACACCCTCAGGGGAAATGGAGAGCAAACATTGCAGGTGTGAAATACAGTTGCCCCAAATTTTGGGAATTTTCATTCCAAATGGGATTTCCAACAACTCCATTAAGGTGCTAGAAATACACTGTCCGTGTTAGACAAGACAACATCTTGTCAGACTCTGAAGTAATCGAAGGCTCTTACAGACAAAGCACTTTTTCCTAAAGGTTTTTCCCTTCCTCCGGGTGACCCTTCTGTGTTTCCTGGAGAACCAATGGTATCTTTACAACATTTACAATCCTCCAGTTCTCATTCCTCTAAAATCAGCTGCTGATCTTTTTCTAAGAAAATTCCAACACGCAGCCATTTCTGTTTGATAAAAAGATCAGGGGCTTTTGTTGTCCAGAGGTAGGCTGCACCATGAGAAGCAACCGGCTAGGATCACAGTTTGTAAACTACAACAGTGCTTTTTATTTTTATTTAATATTCACTAGGTCTGCACATATATTAATTTGGTAGGGTTGTCAGGGATTTGGAGACAAATGCTTACTCAGGATGTGGAGCCACGTAGATCAGAGGCAGAGTATGCATTGAGAACTCGCACCTAATACAGTGATACACATCTCCAAAAACCTTCATGAATCACTCTTACAGAAAACGCCTACTTCAAAGATCCTTATTCTTAACCCAGAAATTGCATTCTCAGAAGTCAATATAACCTTAAAATCTCACATGGTTATTCTTCAGAGTGCCTCTAAAATGATTTATTTTTCTTTTTGCACATATTGTCCTGAAAAATGTTACAGTGGGAAAAAAGCAGTCATCTTCAGTCTGATGCTGAATTTATGCTTTAGCTTGAAAAGTTACGAGCCACATAATTTAATATGAAAAGCAAAGGCTTCTAGCCAGTCCCATAAAATGATGTTTATAATGCTTTGCATCTCGAGAAAAACAGGTAACGCAGAGAAAACAAGAACTAGCACCAAGCCAGATTCTTGGCCGAACTCAGCTTGCATTGATGCCCGATGGGAAGCTCTTTACAGTGCAGGTTCCCCAAAGGCATCGCCTGTATGCAGGGTCTACAATGCTATAACTGCCTCTGCCACATACAAAACTTAGAGCTGAAAAGCAAAATCAATCGAGGGAAAGCATCACAGAGAGAGATTTTTGAAGTGCTCAGAGCAACTCAGTGGCACAGGGGGAACCGCACCATTGGTCCCCTCAGCCAAGCCCTGGGGTTAGCACTTTTCTGGATCAGACTTAAACCAAGCTAGCTTGGCAAAACTCTTCTCGTTCAGCTGGAAATAAAGGCGACTCACTGTCACCATAGTAGTAAAGAGCCACCAAGAACATTTAATGCTTTGACCAGTGCATCTGGTGACACTGCCAGGCTGGCAGGACAAGCCAAGACTTACACACACTACCCCAGCTGTGTGCTTAAGGGCTCAGTTTGTGAGCCTTCAAAAAATCAGTCCTCACACTTCTGGCAGCTCACACCAAAGGTGTTACAAGTGAAGGAGCATAGCTCTGAAAAATAAACCATTAATGAGCTGGGATATAGTGTTATGCAACTCAAGAGCATACTGTGTACCTGGCACTCCAAATGACACCTTGGAATGAGATGAAAGACATTTTTGTTAGTGCTCAGTTCCAAACAACAACCACTCATTAAAGCGAGCTTCCTTCTGCCATCTCCTTCTCTTCGGGATGAGCAATTTCTACTTCACTTGACATGACACGAAGAACTAACAGTGAAATGATCTCTCCTGTTCTCTACGCCACCGATGTGCAGCAATGGTTTATGTCCACAGCAGTTATTTGACAAGGTGCCCAAAGGTTTAAAACCGCAGATAGTGTACATGCAAACTGATGAGAAGTACCCTTGCTTCTTCAGCCACGCACTCACCAGAAGGGGCAGTGGCACGTTGGTAAGGAGATTGGCCTAATCCTGTGATTTTCCAGGACTGGTGCACTCACTCAGACTCAACTTTCACAAAGCCCTCCTGTGGGTGTGATACAGGAACTACCTGAACACATATATCTACATATTTCCTCCAAGTTAGCTGTTTCTCTACTAAGAACTGATGCAGAACAGAACAGCCCAGGAGTCTCCCTCTACAGAGGAAACTGCAATTCATACAAGTACTCTTAAACACACTTTTCATCCTCTCTCCCCATTTAACTTTCTATTAGTGAAAAAAAAAAAAAAAAAAGTTTAAAGGTAAGGTTTGTTTTACTCAAAGTTTGAGAGGAAGGATACCACTGTGCTGGGATGAATGATGTGGAAAATGAACTGTTATCCTCACTCCATGTGTCATCAAGAAAGTAATTTCCTTCTCTATGCCTCAGTAGCCAATCGGTAAAACAGAGTAAGACTCACTACCTCCCACCTCTTGTCTACCTTGTCTTTTCAGACAGTAATTCTTCCAAATGAACTTTATCTACCTGGTCTTAAAAAACAATAACAAAATCAAACACTACAAAAAAAAATTTCCACTGCAGGCCTTTATATGTTTTGGATGGGGCATTCCCATGCAGATACTGTCCATGTCACCCTTTGCAGAGGTTAAATCTTTGCCTGCTGTGTGCTAGCCATACCCCACCCACAGCAGGCAGAGCCTCTGAGCCTGACCCCAGGAAGAGGCAGCAGTGACTAACCAGTGAGCAATACGTGTGTGGAGGGAGGGAAGCTGCACTGCTGCTCTGCTGCAGCTACTGCCAGCTCCCCCCATCCTGCCCTGCCCTTGCTCCTTTGATTGCTGCTAGGGTGAAGAAGAAAGGAAACAATCACATCCCCATGAACATCCTTCTGAGACTGCAACAGCCCTTCTATGGATACCTACTTGAGAAAAAACTTGCAATTAAGGACCTGAAACTATGGCAAATGCCATGCTACTGAGTTACCACCAGACCAATGCATGCCTTTGCTTTTGTTAATTTGCAGACACATTGCAGACACAGGGCATACATCTTCAGAAAAAAATTCACACACAGTTTCAAAGCTCCTGACAAACCACTCTAATCTGCTGCTTACCTCTGTCTGCAGCTTCGCCAGTGATATGAAGACCAGGATGAATCTCATCAATGTGAATAATTAGTGCTTTAAGATCCAAGGGTCTCAAGGTACTTTCACAGAAAATAATAAAATTGACAACATCCAGAGGACGTGAGTGTGTCATCATTATAGCACATTGCACGGTGGTATAAAAATTAACATTCAGTAAAGTGAATCACCAAGGCCATTACTAGAGCAAGCCAGCAATATAATGACAATCTGATTCTCAGTTCCCGGCACTGTCTGGGCTGTGCTGCTTCCCCCGTTGCGCAATTACCGCAGAATCCTGCTTGTCCTCGCTGCTGCAGAAACTGAGGAGAACTGCTCAGAAACAGAGTTCGTCAGAGATAAATAGAATAATTTTGTTTCTGGTGAAAATTCAAAATGCCAACAAAAAAAATCCCCTTTGGCAGAAGAGATATTTACATTTGGAAACACTGCCAGGGAATCGTATGGGAGTTATAGCTTAGGCCCAGGAAAGCTGACAATCTGCTGCTGAATGGCTGCATTCTTATCTTGCCTCAGTTTTACTTTCTTAAGCAGGCAGGACTCACCAGAGCCTTTGGTCTGGGAGGCAGTATGAAAATATTCATACTAGGGAGCCCAGTCCCAGAGAATATAATGTGAAATGCCTTGGAAGCAATTCGACATTTCCTAAAGGAAGCACGCTCCATTTCAGAAAGAAGTATTGCAGATCTCAGAAATGAGGATTAATACAAAACAAAACAACACTTTCAGCAGCAAACACTTCCTCCCGCACCCAAATGACTACGATTACAACAAAATAAACATTTATTTCCCAAAGATTCAGGTCTTTTTTGACCAACGTTACTACTGGTCATTTAAGCCAATGTTCGGGAATGAAAATGGGAGCTCTACACATTAAAAAGAGACATAATTTTTATGTAACGTTAAGAGGATGCCACAATCCACTATTTTTCTGATCAATGCCGTGAGTTTTTTCCCCTCAGCCTTCTAGTACCCTGGATCCTTTTGCCTGTCGTGTCCATGTCCTGCACTCTGTTTCATATCAAAACTAAACCCTAGGCACAATGACAGCACAATGAAGCCTTGATCAAGCACTCTGAGCTCTACTGTAAATATATCAGATAGGATGAGATCTTCCCATTTGCCCTCTGTAAGCTCTGGATCAAGTCCAGGACAAAGAGAAGTTTATTAATGCACACACATTCCTACTAGCCTTTGAGCTCTTTGGTAAAAATTGTTTTAAACAAGCCCCTGTAGAAACTGAATGAGCAGAATTCAAATATTTACATCGAACAACAGAGTTAATTACACTTCAAGACATTAGTAAGATTCACTTTGCTGCAACCTCAGCAACATACTACAGCAAACCAGCAACATAAACCATTTTCCGCAATCTGAGGCGGGCAGCTTTCCATCTGGGTTTCAGCTAAGGCAGGAATGTTTCTGTCTACAATAGAACCTCACTAATCAGCACTTCACTAATCCACACATTTTATTAACTTCGCCAAAAAACTCACAGCCTCTCCCTGCCCCTCAGCAAAGATTTAATAGCAGAGACCTCAAGCAAAGTCTTTCATTACCAAAACACATTTTTTAGGCAAATGTTACGTGCATTTGAGTCAGACATTACAAAGCACTTTGATAAATAATTTGAGCAAAACTACAGTTGTCAAAGGAAGAGAGGGATCTTGTGCATATGTAGAGATGAAAACCCAAAGCAACCCGGAGTTGCTTCTACAAAACAATGTTTTATCAAAAAACACTTAATCCCCAGTATCTCTCGGGATTTGGCTTTTTGTGAACAAAATAACACGCACAAATGAAATTTACTTCTTTCCAAGTTAACACTACATTTGCCCACTTACTTACTGGCTCACAAATTCAGAAACTTTCAAAGAAGTCTCCTTCCAGCCACTTCTGACACTTCATTCTTCCTTTCGGATAGTAGTCAGCATCCTTTAAATGTTAGCCAACAGAGAGAGCAGAGCCAACAAAAACATATAACCATTCGCTGGAACAAAAAGCTCTGTCCATCCTGGTTTCTTAGCTCTGTGTTTCGCAGCCCTTCATACCTCTCCGAACTGAATCATATAATTCAGCCCATTAGCACTTAAAGCTTGTGGCTACAGCAGCTTCGTGTTTCAAACGTACCAGATATTATCCACATGCCATCCTTAAAAATGAAACTAAATGATTACACATTGTTAATTATCCTTCCAATTCCAAGGACATTTTTTAAACTAGTGAGAAGATAACAAAATATACTAACTTGATGTTATTTTTTTCCTCATCAATTATGTTTGCTGTTAGTATAGAATACAAATGTATAAATTATGTACATGCATTTATAGAGCAACATAAGGAAAATTCATATACAGAAAACCAATAAATTGGATTATATTTATATTGATCCATTTCTACATTTTTGTATGAAATATTTATTCATTTAATTACACATAGAAAGCAATGCCATTTCAATACTACAAATGCTACTGAAGTTAATCAGACATTTCCAATGGTTCCATTACAACTATTGTTTATTTGATTTTTTAGATGAAGTTTCCATTATAAATCATGCGATTAGTATTAGAAGCATGAACAAGTACATGCAAAGAGCGTGGCTTCCATTATTTTCTTCGTTCCAGAAAACCAACTATAAAAGCTACCCTCATATATAAGAAACAGACAAAAAAAAAAAAAAAAAAAAAAAAAAAAAAAAAAACTTAAGTTCTTATCTTTTATCATTATGTTTGGAAGTGTAGGTAGATAGAAATTAATAGTTTTTACTTTATATATTTTAAGCAGTGTATTGCTAAATATTTCTTCATTGCAGTGATGCACCAGTGTTCCTCCATGCATTGCAATCAGCACACGGGCCAGGAGGAGGTGAATGGCTCCAGCCATCAATAATTTGTGAGGCTGTCTTTTCAGGTCACCAGCTTGAGTTGGAGAATCATACATACTGAGAGCTGTATGTTCACCTAAAAAAATTGCTAATGCCTGTTTTGCAGCAGATAGGAGTTCAAAACCCCACGATTTATAGCTTTGCATGGAGTCTCAGCAGACTGGCCAAGCACTGAATATATGCACAAGGACCAGGCAGAGGGCAAGAATACACAATAATCAGCTTATTCTCTCACCTAAATCAAACAAACCAACGGGTAAGAGGACAGATTTATCTGAAATACAGTTAGGCACCCTTTAAAAAATTTACCTGTTCAAGAGACTTTGCTCCCCAGGTAATGCTCCAGCTTCTCTCAGTCACTCAGAGGAACCAAGCACCTGAGCCCATGAGGACCCTGCCAGCTCCACTCAGCCTGTGACCAGATCCATACCTCACCAAAACCTCCTCTCTCCCCAACTTCTGTGGTGTGCAAAACAGAGCAAGTTTTCACAAGTTCTTTCTGGAGTGCCAGATCACACTTGCAGGCGAAGGTATGATATAGACCCACATATTGTCCTTGAGAGCCAAGGTACACCAGCAAGAGACCCTCACAGCAAGTAGGTGGAGGGGAGGAAGCTGGGATCTCACAAGTTCAGTCCAAAAGCTACATACGCCCCTGCTTCATGTAACACCCTCTGTCCTGCTGCAGCCCAAAAGAGCATTGACTGTGGATGCTCTTGCACAGGACTCATTTAGAAAGTACGTCTGTAAATTATCATTCGGTGGACAAAGAGTAGATGCAGGTAGATACAGCCAGAGAACAGGCCATCAGATGACCCATCCCCCATTTGGCTCTGGACTCCTCACAAAACCCTATTTCCTCAGTCTGGCAAGGTTCAGATGGCTCCATCATACCCTACTCCTCCAAAGCTCTCTGACCTGGCAGCATTCCTAGCTGCAGATGCCTTGTGCTGGATTTACAGCGAGAAGCACCATGAGCCTCAGGAATATAATAATTTGTACCTGTTAATGATCTAACTCAGTTTGTTACACAGACCCTGACATTTTAAATTAAATTATGCTCTTAAAATAAAGCATAGAAGAAACCCTGGTGAACTGTAACTTTAAGTGAGACCAATAAGAGCAAACCTTGTATCAAGCAGTAGCGCTGTCATGTGGCTGAACGTTCAATCGTTATTGCCATTTATTCTTTAACTAAGGATTTCTGTTTGACCCTTGCAATTAACTTAGTAGGTCAAAATTGGAAAACACCACATTGCATTTAAATACATGAATGTTGCTTCTGTCCTTGAGAGCTGAAGCAATGTTGAGATGTTCAGACTTCCTAATCAAGATTCCCCTTGCCTCCATTTGAATGAGAATGACACTGAAAAGACAGGCTCTGGGCAACACTCGTGGCAAGATCCATACACCCACTTGTATGCCATTCTCAGCTTCCCACAAATGTTTACTGGAGAATATTTTGATTTATTCAGACACCCTGAAAAACACCCAATTCACCAGAACAGATGTGATACTGCTAAAGGCTTTGACACTGCACATCTTTATCAGCTCCAAAGCCTGTGTTGTCTTAATCTTGGAAAACTATTTTGCACATTGCCTCTTTTTTTTGAGTTGTATTTGAGACCAACGAAGGGGTGAATCCTTCCACATACCTTTGGAATCACAAGGGCCAATGTCAAACCATGATTTTATCTGAGTATGGAGGGACTAAGGCAACATGTCTTCTTTCCTAAGGCAACCTGCTTTGCATCCAACAGAATGAGAGAAACATACCCTGCACTGTCATACACGAGGAAATCCAACTCTGGCATAACTATTTCCATCAACTGCATCACATGGGGCATGATGGGTATGGCAGAGACTTTCTCTGTCAGAAGAAACTGGCAGTTCTATGCAGATGCTATTAAGATGATGAAACCAAAAATACATCCACAGATTATTTCTTACATGAAATAGTCAACCAATGTATCTGAGAAACTTGCAAGCTCCACTTTCCTTCTGAAACGCCAGTAAAACCACTTCTCCCACCTTATGGATTACACTGCATTTCTTCTCACGATTCCAAATTATATTGTTAGATTTCAGTTAAATTCAGGCGGAGGTGGTGTTAACACCACGTTTTGTATGCCACCAAACAAGCTGTAAGCACGCAAACACCTAGCTATAAACACGCAGATGATTGATGTAAATAACCATACGCACATGTACAAATTCCATTTACATAGAGGCAGACCACGTCTCAATCCCACAGTCTGCACAGAGGACTACTCCTCTTTGCACCAACTCCCACACCACTGGGAATTTCTAGATATGTTCAAACTTGAAGTCAACCCTGGGCATGCTTTGACACCTGAATTTTTTGGTGTAAAATAGATCTGTGCTTGCACAGATAGCTCCTCAATCTCTTAATCCGACCTTTTGGTTGAAAGAAACAGTTTATTAATGATAGCCAGCAAAAAGGATTATTACACTTAATTTAAATGTAAATTAAGAGACTTTGGAAGAATATTTTTTGATATTTGTTATTTTTTAAAGGAATTAAATAATATCAAAAACTGAGACAGACCTAGCATAGCTCATAAAACCAGCCTGTGAAGACATAAAATTCATCAGGTCTTTGTCTCCACCTACTGTTTGGAGGAATAATACTTGAAACTCCTTCAGGGACACAGTGAAGACACTGAATACCTTTCTCTTTATAAAAACATCTATTCCATATACATTGCAATACTTTACCAGTTGTTATCATAGCTGCTGCTAAAAACCTAACATTGAAAGATAATCACGTCTTATTTTATTTAGAAGAGAACATTAGCCCACAACTATTCCAAAGGGGCAACTGTTACGGTTTTATGGAACACCCTTCCTTCCATATAAGGTTTGATATACAAAAAACTCTGCTGAAAATGTAAGCATAAGAGGTGATTTGGAAACTTTCTGAACAGGAATGAAAATTAAAAGCCTACACTCTTTTTTTTTTTTTAAATGACCAACAATTATATTTTGAAAAACCCCTCAGGTTTGCAAGTCTAAACCTGCACAGGCTGAGAATGCTCTCAGGTGTAACGGCAAAACGAATGAAACAATATAGTCTTAATTAAAACTGATCAATCTGTCAAAGCCTGGAAGAGATTACAGACATGTCTGATCGGTGGCTGCTCTATAGTTGTACTTCCTAATCTGACAAAACAAAATGTAAGCTATACAGGTTTTCTAAAGATAGGTCTTTTCCTTGTATTTTAGCATTGTCTGGCTACTTTCTCTCTTTTCTATCACTATACTTCTGGATAATCAGAAGCCAAAATAAAGCTTTTCCTTGCAACAGTCTGGGGAGGACAAGTGCTAGGCCTGCTTGAACAAAAACTGGGGAAGCCCTGGGAGTCCATTAAAAACTTGATTGAAATTGTCAGGCTGATGGCACAGTAGCAGCTAACCTGCACAGTAAGAGGGCACAGATGCACTGCAGGCAATTTGGTGTTTTTATTTATTTAAACCACATGATGTTTCCAACCCTCAGAACGTGTTCAGGCAGCAGATTGAAGTGTGCCAGAAAATTGAACCTTAAGACACACTGCTATTGGTGAATAAGCTCTTTCAGAAATACGCCCTGGATGGACCTAAAAATGTACTTGCAAAGATGCATATGGGAATCATTTTGTTTTCACAAATAACTGTCTTGACTGCATGTTGCAGAACTGTGAGGGCTTTCAGCTATTTTCAAAACTGCCTGTAGGATTTAAATAGCAAGTTCCCTATTTATTACCGTGAAGAAGAGGATATGGACACTGATGACTGACAAATTCACATTTTAATCCCTTTCTTCTCTGAGTACGCAATTACATCGAATATTCTTACGTCACCTCAAGAACACACAGACAATAAAGGCTCTTACATGGTAGATGGACCTAGAAGTATCAGACTCAAAAGAAACTTCCTCCACTCAGCTCCTGATTACCCTCAGGAAGGTTGGTACAATGACCACCTGCAGATTTCATCCAAAATAAACGTTTTTATATAAGAAATACTAGACGTTACGTACGCATCCAAGCTGTAATAAAACTTGCAGTTGATATTACCTCACCATTTGTTTTTCAACTTCACTTGAGGAAGCCTTTGGGCACTTCTGACACAAGGACAGGAGAACCCCACAAACAGGTGATGAATC